AGTAACAGCAACCTTACTCGCTCACGTAAAGTAACAACAATCTTACTCGTTCACGTAAAGTAACAACAATCTTACTCGTTGACATAAAGTAACAACAACCTTACTCGTTCACGTAAAGTAACAACAATCTTACTCGTTTACGTAAAGTAACAGCAACCTTACTCGATCTTATTAAGTAACAGCAACCTTACTCGATCTTATTAAAGTAACAACAACCTTACTCGATCATATTAAGTAACAACAACAACCTACTAGATTACGTAAAGTAACAACCATATTCAATGACGTAAAGTAACACGTATAGATGAATAGATGTAAAATGCAGTTTTTAACTCCACTGACTCTTATCGGTGCAACCAAACTGTCAGTAAAAGCAACCTAACCAGATCTTAAGCAACAACAATCTTACTCGTTCACGTAAGGTAACAACAACCTTACTCGATCATATTAAGTAACAACAACAACCTTACTAGATCACGTGAAGTATAGATGAATAGATGTAAAATGCAGTTTTTAACTCCATTAACTCTTATCGGTGCAACCAAACTGTCAGTAAAAGCTTTCGATGAATAAAGGTTTTAACTCCATTGACTCTTATCGGTGCAACCAAACTGTCAGTAAAAGCTTTCGATGAATAATGGTTTTTAACTCCATTGACTCTTATCGGTGCAACCAAACTGTCAGTAAAAGCTTTCGATGAATAAAGGTTTTTTTTATACAGTTATACAGGTTTCTTGGTATATAGAATTACACATGAAAAAACAAAAACAACAACACAGTTTTTTACTCATGATTTTTGTTGAAATATACACTTTGCACACTAATTTGTGACTAAGCTTCAAATTAGGCTCATTTACTTGATATTTTTGACGTTGCATTGTGTTACGAGCGGTACTTGCATCTGTGGCTTGTGTTACACGTGATATATTTGGTGTTAGTTGCTTTCATATTTTTACTTTAAAGAGGTGTATTTCGTGTTAGTGATTTGTTGAACAATCTAAGCACCTACAGTGAAACTAAAGATCAATTTGGCAATCAGTAGTAAATTAAATGCGCCTTTCTTATTTGTCTACTTATGAAGATTAGAATTGTTTCAAGAGCTAGGTACCCTCGCTGCCAACGATATTTTTTTTTACCAATAATATCTCACAAAGTTCGGCCAGCTTAGGAGATTTAGGTCAGTCCTTAATGCATACACTAATCTAACAGTGCAAAATGATTTTTATAATAAAAAATAAATAAAATTTAGAGTGTAATGACATTAGATATATTAAATGGTTTGATAAATACTTTTAATAAAAGTAACAGCATAACAATAATAATATAGTATACCTTACTTCAGGAACACAGAAACAAAGACCAGGTTCACTAGTCTAATCGTTAATATCCACTTACAGATTAGCAGGTATAAAGTCCGTGGAATTTCCAAATAAAAACAACATTCGTTTCATGGTATAAAAATATACACGTTTTTAGTAAAGACGTTTGTGTATTTCTTCAACTATATACACAACCACCATTTTTTTCTATAACACCACTTTTCATTGAAAAAAATGCACTATATTTGGAGCTACACTGCACATATTATAGTCTAGGTAATTCATGCGGAGCTACACTGCACATATTATAGTCTAGGTAATTCATGCGGAGCTACACTGCACATATTATAGTCTAGGTAA